AGCCCAAGATGGTTTCCATGTACTCCGCACGTTGTTGAGCGCCGTGCATGACATCAGTGTCCGAGAGTGCTTGAAAAGCTTCATCCGACACACCACTAATGGGGACAGACAGCAACACTTGTTGAAGAGCGCCATGCTGCATGTAATGAGCAAACAAGGATACATAATGCGCGTTCTTCTGGGTCCAGCCGTCAACTATAATACAGAAGTTTCCCGTCAGCTCCTGTGCAATTGCCTCTTCGACTTTCACGGACACCCCTGCATATATTGTTTGAGTGTTTTGGAATTTGGACCCCGAAACCCTGAAGAACTTGAGTGAGAAGTTGTCTTCACTCACCCATTCCAACGCCTTGAATATTTCTTGGCTGGGCTAACTGTTGACTGGCGCGCCCTCTGGATGGATTCCGACGTTTTCCAACGCACCATTGTGTCATGCCATCCTGCGTGCTTGCTGTTGACATACGTGAACAAACTGGTCGGACCAACTGTCTTCTGGACAATAGAGTTGAGTTGCATGGTCGACAGATTACGTTTTTGATACCCGATGCCATTTTCGATCGTAATCCTATGTGTCCTTGAGAAGCAAGCATGCGCGTCCTTGGTCTTGAAAGCTGCGTTCTCGTCGGCTGGCATGATGAGAGATTGCTTGGAGTCCTTGGCGGCAGGCATTCATAAGTGGAAATAGAGAGAAGGATACATGCGCAAAACTATTCATAGGGAGCGGTCATAATTGCGTCAATTTAGCAATAGAATCTACTTGACGCTTTTAGAATTAACAATGGAGTCATTGCAGAGCTAGAATCAGTGGATGTCCTTCCCTCTGGATAATATTTACTACTCCCTCCGTCCCATTTTACTTCCGTAGATCAGAAAATGGATGTACGGCGCCTTGATTATAAACAAAGCACCTTCAAAAATTTATTCCACACATTCATTTTCAAAGGTGTAACGATACAATTGACCAATGAAATCACAGAAAAAACGTGTCGTAGAACCTATCAAACGGCGAGATATGGCAAATCTGACAGTGCCATTCGATTCCGGAGGGGGTTTACCTCAGCACGCATCGGTACGTACTTAATCGTCATCTTCTGATCTAAGATGGCTGAGTTGGGTCAAGTCCAATCTCAGCCATCAACTCATCCATCGTTTCGTTGTCACTCAGGGCAATTCGTTCGAGCTCTTGTGCCAGCTCGTCCATGCAGCGCGCCTCATGCAGCTCTTCAGCAACGACCCGCTCCATTGCGGTACGATCGACGGCGTCCAGCTCGCTCTTGACACTGTCGTAGACATCCAGTGGGGTACAGCAAGCTTTCAGGTAGGCGTCCTTGCCGCGCTTGTTTCTCCTTGGCCTGGTGGGGCACCTTGTAGGCATTGTCGCCCCGGCACTTCAGCGTCTCGATCATGCTCGCCTGGAGCGTGAGAAAGGTACGATCCAAGCGCTCGGAGGGATAGTCGACGAAAGCGGCTTCCACATTCGCCACCAGCTCATCCACGTTGCGCGCTGACG